GTGTGTGTGTGTGTGTGTGTGTGTGTGTGTGTGTGTGTGTGTGTGTGCGTGTGCTTGTGTGTCTTGTACCTGGGAAAGAGGGCACTCCTTGGCCAGGGAGCTCTGGTTCATGTCCTTGAGGAGCTCCTTCAGAGCATTTCTCACTGTGGAGTGGCTCCACCGCTCGGGAGGCAAGTCCTCCAATTTGGGACAGCTAGACAAAGAGCAAATTAAAAACACTTGAATTGCATAAGTTTGATTGTAATTTAGTATTGCACTTCCATAAAGTTGGGGAACTCACAATTGACAACCAGACTTTTAGTACCCAAAGTGGTTTAAGCTCCAAAAACACCGGATCCTATAAGTCCCATAATGAAACTTTATGACATCTGTGAAAGTCTGATTTAAAACAAGACAGTCTAGGGCTATAACTTATCTACAATATCATCTCTTACGTGTGTAGAAATTCGAACAAATTGATCAGATAATAATATTATAACAAAAACTGCTACAGTTACCAGCCAGGGAACCCTGCAGAAAACTGTTTTCAAAGGCTGACAAGTACTACGTGTGACGAGTAAACAGAACTTAATGTGTAAAATTGGTGGAGTGCCCCTTTAAAAAGAATGTCTCCCCGACACTTCTTTACTCGCTCATATGCAGCCACTGTGGAGTGATTGGGAGCCAAGTTTCCAGTGTCAAACACATTCAAGGGTGTGAATGAAAATCTGGGCTATGGGTGGAAACTAAAGCACTAAATTAAATAAATCAACTCATATGAGCACAAGAAAAACATACATGATGCCACATCCTTTTTTCTTTGAGCCAAAAGCCTTTTTTTAATGGAAGACATGTTGACATGTCACAGTAGGAAAAGCACAGTCTTGGGTGTAAATAATAAAATTAATGACGTTTGAATTCAATTGAGCTGCTTCCATCATAAATGTGATTAGTAACACCTGTGTTTTTTCCTATTTTTTGTCCTTTGAAAAAAAGGCCTGTGTTAAATTATCTTTTGTATCTTTTGATAATAAATATGCTGCACTGTCCTATGTTTTATGGTTGATCTGACCTAAGACCCAATATGTAACACAACTATAGGACTACTGTCAAAAAAAGGGGACACTGATTATTTAGAAATGTTACCCTAGGAAATGACTTTTGATGTCATACACCATTAAAATGCTCATCAATATTCATTGCAATAAGCAACTAAAATCACTCGTTAAACTTAATCTAATAGCATTAAAATAAGATAAAATATAAGAGTTTAATCATTCCCTGCTGGGTCTGATTTGGTCCATGCCCTTTGGTTATTTTCTTTTATTGATAGAAATTAGAGATGGTGGGTGGCTGGAGTCTTTCCCAGCATGCACTGAGCAAAATGCTGAGAAGCGCTTAACCAGTCTTGAGTCCATCGCTCACATTCACACATACAGATAATTTAGAGTCCGTAGTCTCTACACTGACAAGACGAGGAAAATAATCTGAGTGTTACTCTAGACAGACATATTCATAGATGTGATGCCAGCCTCCTACCTGCGCAGCTGTATTTTAAGGGTGATAACGTGGTGAACATCCTGCAGCATATCAGCCACTGTGGCATCGGGAGCCTCTGTTACACAGGACAGAGGCACCGGGTTCCACCTGCCCACCTGGATGAGACCTGAACACACACACAAGTGTGAAAAATGTAAGAAAACGGTGGATTTCTGTTTTTGAATCCTTGTGCAAGTTTGTGTTGTGTACCTTTGGCCTGTGCAGCAGAGCTGTGTGAGTAGCCCAGTGTCAGCAGGGCCATCTCTATCAGCTGGTTAAACAGCAGATCTCTCTTGACCAACACAAACTCAGCGTGTTCTTCTCTCCTCTCTCCCTCCTGAGGGCTTTCCTTGTGCTCCACCACACAGAACACAGGCAGCAGGCTCCCTGAGGTGATGGAAAGGACAGCTATTAGACATATCGGATGACACGTGGGGGTCATTATCACTGTACTGAAAATATCACGTTTCAGCCCATGTACCTTTGCTGTGCCAGCTCTTGCTCTGTGGCCTCACTGTGGTGGGTTTCTGGGCCAGACAGGGGTTTTTGGCCACAGGACTCTCCTGACTGCTCCTCTCCTGGGCCGAGGGTCCCGCTCCATTTTGTTCCAGTCGAGCCAGCTTGGCAGGAGGCGGTCGGGGGTCTACAACGGGATCACTGCCCTCGGGTTTATTGGCTCCATTACACAGGGCGTCCATCTGTGGTCTTACACTAAAACAGAGACACAAATGCTTAAAAAATCAAACAGTGTATGAGATAACCTAATAAAAATGCCCTCATATTATCTTGATAGTATCTCTGGTCAACCATGAGTTTATGGTGGCCTCCTATTATGTTCCATGATACTATGACATATATTTCAAAAGTAGATTTTGCAATGACAAACATAATGTTTTCATCAGGGTAGAATAGGCTACATGCGACAATAATGAAAAGAAAGCATACATAAATACAGCAAGAAGTATATTAGAAAACCTGGCGAGCGTCTAGAGAGTGTGAAACAAAGCTGTCTCAGTTATTTACAGTTCCGGGTCCAACAAGAAAACTAGAAAGCATAATTTTTACAAACGTACACATGCACGCAGATCTGAAGGATATCCGGATCAGTAATAGTGGACGACCTTCAACCAGATGCAGCGATAAGGACGACCCTTTAAATCCAGTAAAAGTCCAGTGAACGATAGAGCGCAGTTTCCCATAATAAACCTGCTGTCATCTCCAGACGCGCCGCTGTAAGCGACAGTGACTCAGTTCATCTTCGGCACCTAAATGCGCGCTAATCGTCCCACGTCTGATCCCGCTGAAGTTTGATCGAGGCGAAACCAACCTGTTTCAGTCGGCACAACGTGCATGTCCGACCTGCCATCATACATCGACAGCCCGTCCCTGAAGACATCGGCTGTATCCATATGTTGTCCTGGCTTCCATTGATCTCCAGATGAGGAACAGACCCGTTTCTCTCGGCTGTCGGTATGCGTCCTTTTCCTTACACTAATCGTCTCCTTACCATCGACACGATGTCGTGTTTACTGTCTAAGTAGTTTGCCTCTGATCCCTCCTTGTTCTCCGACTGCGCTTCGCTTTCCGGTGTACAGATAAATGGCCTCAGCGCAAGTTCAGAGCGATCTCCCATCCAGAGCACATGCTGCTGCTGTGGATCAAGCTCTAGAGAGAACAATACACGGCTTGGAGCTGTTGGAGTACATCCCCTATCACAAATATTCGGCTACAGCACTGACTCCGGGACAGCAGTTGTTGGTTACACTTCAAAGCCCTATGCGCACGCGAGGAGGAGAGGGAGAGTAAGAGAGGGGGAGAGAGAGAGACTCACACACCCACACACAGACTCATAAATACGCGGACCCAGCTGCATTAGCATATGGTGTAATAATGAATTCACTAGCGCGCTCCGTAAATGTATTAAATGTGACAATTGCGCATAAATCTATTTATTATTTTCTGCCGCATGCTGTGCACGCACTTATTATTGTCTTTAGGGTATTGGAGCTCTCCATGGTAACAAAGTGGAGCAGGGCAAGGAGGAACTGGCTGACTGATATTAACTTTTGAACGTTGATGTTTTACTGTCACAAGATTATCTATGGCTTATGATTGAGATGAAGATAATAAGAGTTTTTATTGTATGCAGCAAAGCTCTATATCCCATTGCAATTACAGCCTGAGCCTATTGTATATAGTACAGCAAAAAGTAGTAGCCTGTAATATAGGCCTACTCACTATACTATTCTATACCATAGTCTATAATAGGCTATGAATTATACTTTGGGGCATATATAACAATACATATAGTGTAGTATATTATAATAAAGTATAGTAGTATGCAGTATAGTGTTACACCTGCCCTACTACGGGGTATAGTATACTGTCCTACTCTAATTCTAGGGCTATACTATGTTATACAATACTATACTATAGTATAATGGCTACGTATACATAATGATATAGTACTATAGTAAATAGTTTCGTATAGACGAAATGGTAGAATATTGTAGCATCACATATACATATACATGTATATATATGCATATACACACACACTACCACTTTAGTATATGCGGTACAATATATTGTAGCTTGCATTATGCATTATTGTATTAGTTGCCCTTACTCTAATATTATATATTACACAGCATGGTAGTTCCTCACATACAACTTCTTCAGACAGCAAGCTTAAGTGATAAATAATTCTCAAAAATGATCATTTGGTCATTTGATATTAACCAATTTAAATCACACTGTAAAATATCTCAAAGTAGGACCACCAAAAAGCAACCCAACCTCGAAACAGACATGAAAGGACAAATGTCCATCACTGTACCTCAAAGTTCTGATACTTAGCCGAGAACACAGCTTGTCTTCTGTTCGCAGAAACTTTCAGCCAAGTATCAGCCGATGTCCCCGGCGCAGTCCACTGACGAGATGCACCTCTTGGCTTGGGATCCCTAAAATGGTGTTTGAAATCTCTGTAAAGGTATCATAAAGCAAAGGGGCGGCAGGTGTGCGTGAACTGTGTCTGTGAGAGAAAGAAAGAGAGAGGAAGAGTCAGAGAGCCTTCACTCTGGCAGAGAAGATTCAAAGACTTGCCCCATGAAATGTTACACCGGTGTGATCACAGGTCTGCCTTCTCTACGGAGAGAACGGGCACATAGATGGGTGGATGTTGCGCAATCAGAGTGTATGTTTGCGGGGAGAGAGCATGCTCTACTACTTTTGACTAATTAAACAAAGTGAATTAGCTATCTCCCCAGCCAGAACGAGTCATGGCTGGTTACACATCATTCATCATGACTAATTCAGAGAGAGAGATGTCACTCAGCTGGATGGAAATGTGTGTGTGTGTATGTGTGTGTGTGTGTGTGTATCACTCCACTGGCACCTCTGGGTATGATGGTGTATAAGTTCACTGTTTTGTGTGTGTGTGTGTGTGTGTGTGTGAGTGTGTGTGTGTGTGTGTGTGTGTGTGTGTGTGTGTTCAGGGATATGTACTACTGTTCAGTGTGTGCCTGTGCCTTTAAGTGTTGATATGTTCATATTTCTCTCTCTCTCGGCGCTCTACTATTTTATCACTGGCTTGATACGTCGTCAATGAGGCTGGCATGCTAAATGATAATTAAGACCATTACACGCTCACAGAGCATGCTACGAGTGCAGCACACGGCTCCTTCAATCGGAGCCTCATCTCAGGGGACACCCTACTACTCACACAGTCGTGTATCTCTCCAAATTAGGTTAGATTTTCATTCCACCTCATTCGCCATGGATGTGATGTGGTTATTATAAACTCATGATATGGTTAGTGAGCCTACTGCCATTAGCTGTGTGGAGGCATCATGTCGGCGTGTTAAAGGGGAAATAGATTGCCAACACTCAGAATTGCACATCTCTGTTTCTCTTGCTTGTGTTCTGAAGTATGTTTGAAGATGCACACAGACCCCGACTGCACAATCTGAAGTGTAATAGACAACACTCACAAATGCATGAATGTGTTTGTGCAGACCGACAGACTCAAACACCTTACATGAACACACGCATGATCAGTCACCTCTAAGTGTCGACAGCCATTTATCTCGTTGTGCAGTGGTGGAAAGTTATTATTAAGTACTGTACTTCAATACAATTTTGAGGTACTTGTATACTTGGGTATTTCCATTCTATGCTACTTCATTCTTCCACTGCATTATATTTTAGAGAAAATATTGAACTTTTTACAACTCTGTATTTATTTCAAAATAAATACAAATTGATTAATCATCTCACGCCCCCTTCAGATACTATATTCTGCGACCTTTTGAAGGGGGCCCCTCCCTAGGTTGGGAACCACTGGAATAAAACTTCCATTTCAACCCGCTACAGGAGAAAATTTTTACTTTCACCTTGATGTATCAGCGACATTATTATTATGTCACATGCAATAATATACAGTAACAGTCACATGGCATATTTTCTTTTACTTTTGATACTTTAAGTGCATTTTATCTATGATTTTAATGGAAGACTTTTACTGGAGTGGAAGTAAAGGATCGGAGTACTTTATCCCCCACTGTCCTGTCATGCCACTAATCAGAATCTCCCTCACCCCAGAAACCTTTCTCTACAGACATATTATATAGCCATACAATAATCCTATCTGACATTGTGCCAGAACCAGGCTTGAAAGCAACTGTCTCTCCTCAGGTTTCTGCTGCCCTGGGGCGTGTCTCGGCTCCTCGGCCTGTTAATGTACCAGCACAGGTATCAAATATTGTCGGAGAAAAACATCGCCTCAGGTTAAAGTGGTTATGTTGTATGTATACAAATCAGAAAGTCTTTGACAAAAGAAGTTCACGTGTGAATGCAGGGACCTCCAGATTTCAGATGAGATTGTGAGCTCGGGGATCAGATGTGAGATGTGCACTCCTTACCAATTAGATTGAAAAATGGTATGGGTTTTATTTTGTAGGGAGAAGGAAAATAAACGTCTTGAGCTTTTGTTTGGGATAAGAATGAGAAGACAGAATAAAGGACAAAAGATAGAAGGTGGAAGCATTGGGTTAGAAGACAGCATGATAAGTCATTTGCCATTTTTACATTTGCTTGTAATAGGATGGCTTGTGCAGTGTTGTTGGTAAGCGATGACTACATTATGTGTATGAATGTGGCTGTGTACATGCTGCACATACAATATGGACTATTAGCTCTGTCTAACTGAGTAAAATGAACTTATAGCTGTATCTTTAAACAGCCATGCCCACTTCATGTATGGCGCCCGAGGGCATCGTAAAAAACATTAAGTTAAAATGCCCGCACACTGTTGCCTTTGCAACTCGACAAGGGAGTCTTAAAGCATAAATGCATGACTGTATGCAGGCACAAGGCCAGATCTGATTAGAGTTTAACCAAGACTGCTAATAATGAAACCAATAAAAACAGAGAGACGGAGGAATGGAGTTCAGATCACAGCAGAGCAGCACGTCACTCACACAAAACCAAAGTCATACAGCGTGCAGGGAAAAATAACATTACAGTTCTTGTCATTATGCACGACAACTGAATATGTATTTAATGAATCTATCAGGTGTGAATGATGCTAATGAAAGTGTTTTATGTATATTTATTTTGTAGTTTAATGCAAGTTGTGTACGTTAAACCTCCTACTGTTTTTTTTGTGAAGCATGAAAAGATTGCAACTGCATTTCATTGTGCAGCCCTGTGCTGTGCAATAACAATACATTTAACTTGAACCTATGTGCACAATAAAAAAAATAAAAAACTCTGGCGACTCCTAGAGGTTGTATAAAGAAATACATCTGACCAAGAAGACAGAATGAACGGCTGTGAGCAAAAGAAAGACTGCAGCAAATTTCATTGCAAATGTCTCATTTTCCAACAAACAAATATGGATGCAATCTGAATAATTTGGTGTATTTGGTCCAAAAGTTTCCTTCATTCAAAACATGGCAGTTAAATGATACTAGTAAATTAACATCTTTGGACTTTTCTTTTAAAAGCAATTATGATGTTAGAACTTTTGATCAAACAGAATAGTACAACACTTTCCAAATTTCCCTTTTCTGGAAAGAGGGATCCATGCTTTTGTCTCGTCCCACTCTAACTCTGGAAGATGAGGACACATTACATGTGTGTGTGGGTGTAATGATACACATTGAGGTTTCAATGGTAGACTTAAGGATGTAGTGTAGTTTTGAGTTTGACTTTATCGTCTTTGCTCAAGTTCTCTTCTTATATTTTCACCTTTTCATTATATTTTTATACATTGTTTAGTGTAAGGAAATTGTCTTTTTTAATTTAAATGATAGTGCTTTTTTTATTGATGTTTGATGCAGGTTTAATAAAGCTTCTGGTGAGATAACACTGTGAGCAACAGTGACTCACTTTGACTCAACTGTCACTTCACTACAAACGTAACTTTGACACACACACACACACACGCACACTTTCGAGCGGTGATCAGGATTAAATGATGCATTAAGCACTTAATTACTCAGGTGAAGCATCACTGTGCGTTGGCTGTCTCTTCTAATTTTATTAGCCGACACATTTATGGAAGTCTATCTCTCGGTTTCACGCTGCCTCACCTCAGGGACATAACTCACATGTTTCTTTTCCTGTATCATGTATGTGTTTTGTATGAGTACATGTCGGCACATAGAGTTTGTGTGCTTGTTTGAAGCCACTGAGGTGATATATGATTCACAGCAGTCCGCCTTAGAGCACCTGATGACCTCACTTTGTCTAAATGACATAACAGCTGGAAC